GTAAAATAAAGTAAAGTTATTAGTATTGCATTACCTTTCCCGAACTGCCTCAGAGAAGGGTATAGTTTCTTGACAACGTCTAACAGAAGCTATACTTCCCTCTTGGACACCGCATATACCCGTAAGGGATTCCCTATGCCGTGTCGTCGTTATAGTGTGAAAATTAAGAAGGCTTTCACCTATAACAATATCTAATTTTAAATAGTATTGAAGTTTTTGATAGTAAATAACATAATTATTTCATGGTTCAAGATGGGGTACTAATTTTTTTGTTGCTAAAAATCATCTACTATCCAAGCTATCTACAAGCTCTGTAGTATAGGGACACAACATATCTTTACTTACAGCAAGATTCTCTACTGCAGGAGGCAAATTATTCAAATAGCTATAAGTTTTTAGAGAAAAGTGTGCTTTAATATTTAAGAAATAAACCTGTTTTGAATTTGGCTTGGTTCTAAGAGCTATAAGAAATTTCTTTTGTTTTGTAGAGTTTTTAAGTAAATAATTTCGACTATACTCCTATTTATACTCTTTAATAGGTAAGAACTGACTCATTGCCCAGCCATAAAGATTATTCGTATTAACATATGAAATTTATGTTGTTGGTTTGGATAGGTTAAAGGCTTTACCTATTTTGGGATTATTAGCCTTAAAATATCTTTGACAAGCTATTAATATACCACCATGCTTGGCTTTTTCAATTAAATCATATATTGCCATATCTGTAAAGAGTTCGATCTTAACTCTTGTCATTTTAAGCATAGCATTTCAAGCTAAAGCTGGTGCAGATACATAGTGACTAGGATCAAGCTCATAATATTGTATACATGTTTTTCAGAATTGGGTCCAAATATCAGCAAGACAGAGTACATCTGTTTTAAGATAGAGATTATGATATTTACTTAAATTTTTACACCCAAATTCTTTCCATACTTTTTGAGCATGCTCATAGTCTTTTTAGGTAATTTTACTACTAAGTTAACTATGAAATTCATAAATAGGTGGAAGCTCATTTTCTAAGAATCTATTATACAAATCGATATACTTATAGAGATATACTTCTTTGTGACATATAAGAGCTATTTGTTCTGAAGAAAAGTTTTTATAATGCTAACTTGTTATTGGATAGTTGTTATCTAATTTTTTTGTAAGATTGGCCAAGCTATTATTTATGAACTGCATACTATCTATATACTTAAGCTGGCCTACTTTTATTGATTTATAATGTTCAAAGGTCTTAGCTATTACCTTAATCTGATGTGCATTAACAGACTACCCAACAGACTCACAAACCAAATAAGAATCATAGCTATGAAAGTTATGAAAGACAACTAGAATAGGTGTTTTCCATGGCTCTATTTGGAGTTTAAGATTACAGGTATTGTGATCAGGTCCTTAGAACTTACCTGTAATATGCCAATAGTCCCAAACCTTATCATTTTTATCTACATCAAATTTGTCTTTACAAATTCAACAACTATCAGCTTTAGCAAATTTCTTTTTATCTTCTTTAGTTTCAATTCAGTCAGCTTTGATGACTAGGACTCTATTGATTTGTACTAATTCTTTATCTATTCTTTAAACAAATTCTTGGATTGCATTTTCTCTTCTATATAAGAAAGGCTCCCATATATCTCCAGTATTGATCTAGTGAACAAGATAACAGAAACTATTAGCTTTCTGCTTAGCAAGCTTTTGCATTTGTCCTCCATATATTTTATTACATTTTTTGTTATAATAATACATGAGGTATTGATTATTGGTCTATAGTTTTTAAACTTCTCAAAGTCATTAATGTTCTTGGTAGGTAATTTAACTTTTTGAATAGCTTCTTCTAATCCAAAACAATGCTCTTGGTGATATGCTAAAGATTTTTCTGTCTGAAAACTATGAAAATATTGATTGCAAAGATACTTTTTTACTTTTTTGCATTGTCTTTATAAACAAGACCATCTGGATTTTTAATTCAAAGAAAGTAGTTTTTTTGCCCATACTTTTCTTCTTCAAATTTAGTAATATCAGTAAGAGCCATAAGATAAATAATATGCTGTCTATTATAGTTCTTACTAGCTATTACAGACTTGGGGGTAGCTGTTTCTTCTTTCCATTTCCAAACATTTATAGAGATATCTGGGTTCATCTTCTCAATTTTATTGAATATACATGAACAAATAGAAGTGGACATTGGGATTCTATCTAGTTTAATGATATCCAAATATGGCTTGAGCTTCTTTGCTCAGAAGATTTATTCAAGATGTTCTGTATATCCATCTTGGTAAGCAAAGTATGCTCCTAATGCTCCTTAAAGGCACTTTTCAGAAAGCTTATTTGTTTCTGGATCTATAAGATTTTTATTAACTGAATTGATAGTACATTTTGTATTGGCAAGCTTTTTTGGATTATAGATAAAGGTTCCTCTATATGTTTGTCAGTATATATAGGATTCTATAAATATCATTTCTAATCGAAGAAGAATTTTACCAGACTCTTCTTTTAAGTATGCCTCAATTTTTTAATCAATTTTTCTAGCTGATCTAGTAATATGGTTGTTTATATCATTTTTTAAAAGAAGTATATATATTTCTCTCTAGTGATATAGATAATGATAGCTAATTTTATAGTTTTTTAAATCTGTACTATCACCACTTCCTTTATATGTATATTTTATGTATGTAGCATATGCAACCAATGCTGATTTTATTTGATCCTTTTTGTGAAGCTCTTCTTTAAGAATGTTTGTAATGGCTTTATATGCTGATGCAAATAACTGGAATATATATGAGGCATCTGCATACTCTATTGGATTGTCTTGATATTTATTAAAAGTATATGCAGAATTTTTAATTGATGGTACTATACCTTCCCAAACTGGCATAAAAGTAAGATTTGGGTGTTGTCTTTTAGAATCGGGTCTTTTTCTAAAAATTTTATATTTCCTAAAGGAGGCTCTTCTTCTACAATCCCATTTTCAACTTCATAAATTGACCGAAAATGCTTTTTTAAAGCATATTTTTTCTCTTAGTCTATAACTTGTTGGATAGTAACTTGGGTTGTAAGGACAGCTTCTAGGTTTTGATCATTAACTTGGATTTGGAAAGTTAAATTGGAGGTGCATTGGTTTTTTTTACTTTGATAATGCTGCCAAAGTTTTTGTGAACTTGCTAAAGTTTTTTTACAACTAATACATTGATGACTTTTTTTATCTTTTCTAACTATAACCTATTAAGTCTAATCTTTAATATATATATAAACTTTTGCTCAATTAAAAATATTTAATTATAGTACTCTTTATATTCAATTACTTTTTTAAACAGTAACAAAAAAATATTATATGATCCAATACATAAACAAGCTTCAGGATAAGGCCCAGAAGTTTGACCGTGCCTTCTTATAATAAATCACTAAAGAAGCCTTGAATTAGTTGATATTTATTGTTTTTTAAGCTTGCAAAAAAAACTTCTTAAATTTAACCCTAGCTTTTGGATACATATAAGATAACCTTTAAGTCTAACTTTTGATATATATATTAATTTTAAGTCTAATCTCTAATTTGTAAGTATATCTTTTGATATTATTTTTTGTCTCAGATTTGTAAGCTTAAAATAGTTATAAAATGGATTCTTGAATATTAAAAATTATTAGTATATAAGAACCTATTCTTTAGTCTTTATAATAGTAATTTGATAAAAAGTTAAGTCTAATCTTAAACCTATAAGTTTACTATGTTCAGCTAAATCTAACCTCTTCGAGGTTAGATTTAGCACTATGCTAGCTAATAATGAATCAGTTTTAAAATTAATTCTAGAATATCATTAAAATTGGTATGCAATTTAAGCTTGCAATGATGTACAAAAAACATACTCAGACACTTTATGTCTTCAGTGTTTTTTGGCTATTGCAAGGGCAAGCAAGATAGCATACTTTTTTGATATCTTATTTGCATATCAAATTAGGCCAAGAAGGCTATACAAGATGTATTTATTTTAGGGTCTCAAACCAAATTCTAATACCAAAGAGACTATTTATAGCTAAATTTGAGCCATAGGAGGTTTAAAGCATAAATTCAATAGTAATTAGAAATAGACTAGAAGGGTTTGTTAGAGGGTTTAGAAACCTTCTTGGATATCTAACTGATTTCTGTCTTAGAACCCCTCTTTTCACACTACTACAGAAGTATACTATAAGTACTAGAGATATACTGTGAGTTAGTGCTAGAGTTTGGATGAATTCTGCAAAAATAAGCCCTGTTAACAAGAGACTAAATATAAGTAGTTAGTTAGCAGAAAGGCTTTCTAAAGCCCTACAATTAGGTGACATACTCTGAAATATGTAATAGCTTAATAAATATATAGACAGAGAGGTTAAGGTTAGATTAGACAGCACTTCAGTATACAGAAACTTGTACATTATTTGTCAATATAAGTATAAAGATCAAAGTGTTTAAATAGGTAATCTTTTAGTAGACTGCAGGTATGACAACTAGCATAGAACCTAATATACAGATGAACTACTTAAAATAAATAACCAAAAGTTGTACATGTAGCTAGTTATAGACTCACCTTGTACAAGTTATATAACCATAATTAAAATACAATAAAGGCAATAGCTACTGATAACTACAGTCTTAAAAAAAAAAAAAAATAAATAAATTATATAATTAATATATAATTTAACTTTTATTATAAAATATTTTCAGAAAACAGTTTATCAAAAGTTCTTATGCATATTAGTACTCTTAAAACTACTTTATCCTTAACAAAAAATTTATTAAAACCTTTTATGTTCTATATTTAGTTAACTTAGTTTTATATAGCATGCTATAGTTAAATTAACACTTGCAATTATAGATATTTTATTAAACTATTATGATTATATTATTTATATTCTTGTAAAGTCTACTAAAAATCTTGTATTATTTTTTTTAATATTTTTACTTACTCTGAATTAACAAAACTTTTCAAACTACTAATTCAAATAATTAGTAAACTTGTAACTAAGCTTTTGGTATACAATTAAAAATTTTTTTTTTTTAACAAATTCTAGTAATCTGGTTAGTTATATACTTCTTTATATATATTTGTTGTTTAGTTTATTTGTCTGTTTTTTTAATATTTCTATTAGGCTAATAGTATTGTTAAAAGTTTATTCTATTTCTTTATTTATAGATTTTTAAGTAAGATTCTGTTTTTTTTTAGTTTTTAATCTTCTATGTTTAATAGTTTTATTATTTGCATTAAAGTTTTATATAATACTAGTTTTAATATTTCTTTAGAATATGCCAACTTAGTGAAATGGATAAGTTGTCAACTTCCAAGTAATAGGTTGTGAGTTCAAAACCCACTGATGGTAAAAATTTGAATACTTATCTATGTAATACATAGACAGTATTATAGCAATAATATTCTGTTGATCAGTTAGGATAAGATACCTGTAACTATGATCACATTAGCATAACTGGCAGGTCATAAAGCATCTGTGTAACTTTGGTTATATAGAGGAATGCAAACTGGTACTAGGCAGTGCAAATTTAAGATAAGTTTTTGTGACTATATAAATCTATAGAACTGTAAAACTAAAGCCTACTTGGAAAAACCTGAGTAAAAAGGTAATACAGATCTTTAACAGTACTACTATAAAGGCTAGACCTAGAAAACAAATACCAATGTGAAGAATCTGAACAGTCAAGAACCTCAGGTAAAGAATATTATCAACCAGGCCACTAGAACCAAACTGGAAAAAAAATATATCAGGTTGGCTCAATATATCAAGAACAGGTTATAGTTCTTCTAAACTATCTGGATTGGGAGTCTGAGTACAAAGCAGAAGTATACTATAAGTACTAAGAATATGCTGTGAAGTAGATGCTAAGATCTGGGTAAACTCTACAAGAGCTAGCCTTGTTAATGTTTTGTAAAGTAAGTAAGTAGTTAACAAGAAGGTACTACAGAATCTTATAGTCAGATAATATATTCTAAAATATGTAAAGCTTAACAGATATACAAAAAGAAAAGGCTAAATGTTGGGTTAGATAGCACTTAGATGTACAAGAACCAGATGCTACTTGCTTGGATGCAGTATAAGAATCAGAATGTTTAAATAGGTATTCTCCTAGTAGATTACAGATATAGCAGCTAATATAAAACTCTCAGGTAAACTACTTAAAAAGATAACCAAAAGTTACATATATGACTAGTTGCACATTTAACTTATACAAATTACATATAATGTATTGATTAAAAACACAATAAAGACAGTAGCTACTGATAATATTGGCCTTGAACAACAAAAAAAAAATTTTTTTATATATATTGTATGTAATGTTATACTTTGCATAGATGTTTTAAGTTTTTATTTAAGCTAGTATATCTAAAATTACAAATGCATTAATTCAACTGATTATTAAAAACAATTTATTATAATATGAATATAATTTTTTAAATTTTATTATAGATCAGATTTAAACATTAGATCAGTTATTTAAAAATTGACAACTTAACAACTTTACTAAATTATTATATCTACAAAGAATAACTTTTATTAAGCAATAAAATTTTAATAAGAACTATTAAAAAAATCCAAAACAAATTAGATATTTTAGAATGTGATAACCTAGTAAAGTGGATAAGTTGTCAACTCTTAAGTGGCAGGTCTAAGGTTCAATTCCTACAAATGACAAATTTTGGAAATTATATCTGTATTATAGTAACTGTCTCTTGCCAATTGGTTGGGTTTTGGGCATTTGTAATCTTAGATACACCAAGTCAGACCCCACCTGACATTGGGAGCTTAGGGCATTTATGCAAAGTGTAATGTTACATGTATATAGAGAAATGTGAAAAACTAATATCATATAAAGCTTTAGTACAAACCTGTAATAAAATCACTAGTCATAAAAGGCTAAGAAACAAAGAAGACAGAAACCTACTTAAAAATTCTAAGTAAAAAGGTAGCACAAACTTTTGATAGTACCATTGGACTGATAAAAATCTATAAAACACTTTTATAGAAACTGTTAGATAAACCAGATAACAAAATATGTAGAGAAGCATATAACCAACCAGGCTGCCAGAATCGCCAAAGAAAAAGAATATATAAGTATATTATATCAGGTTATTTAAATTAAAAGTCTGAAAAGTTAGTTAGTTCTGAGTTGTGGCTAGTAGAAGATAATGAAAAAAAATCAAAAAGATAAGTATTAGTATTTGGGTGAACTTTATAAGGGTAATAGTAGTTTAATGAATAACCCTAATTGCAAGTATTGGTCCTAGCCATAGTGTCAAACCAGGTTAGTAGTAAAAGAAAATACAGCTTACTCTAGTAGGTTTGCCTTAAGGATAAAAATAGTCTAAGAATTATAGTCTGTTGATTAAAAGTAAATAGATTCAGGTCTGTAATTAGGTAAAATTAAGACTAGGGTCAGATTAGAAGGGTTAAATAAAATATTTAATCAGAAGTGTTAGATATAGCAACTGGTAAAAAACTCTTGAGTAGACTTTTTAAATAGGTAATATAGAAAAATTACATATGTAGCCAGTTGTATACTTGTCTGATAGTTCAATATAAATACATTTATATAAAACATATATCTGACATAAGTATTAATAAAAAGCTAGGACCAAAGTGATTATCTTAATACTGAAAAAAAACTAAATTAAACATTTTATAATAAATATATTATATAAAATAAAACAAATATATATTAAAAAAAATCATATATAAATATAAATAATAATATTTTTTTATTTATATATTCAAGTTATTTACAGTAAATCTAATTTTATATCTAATTTCTAATTATAACTTATACAAATACTAATTAAATTTTTATTTATTGAATTTTAAAATATTTTATCTTATTTATAATTTTTTTAAAAA